ATTTAGATTTAGTAATGAATTAAAAATAATATATAAATTATTATTTTTAGTTAAAAAATAAATAAAAAGCCACGTCATTATTTTTAAACGAATAATAAACAGTTCTGTTACAAAATTTGACGCGCGTATATAAATACCATTTTGGAGGTTTAAAGTGTCAATATTGCGTTTTCGGAAGTTTAAACTGATAGTAAAAAACCTTGGAGGTTTAAAGTGTAAGTGCTAACCACCTTGAAAGGTTTTGATGCGATTTTCCCCTTTTCAAATGTAAGACCGTATATATTCGAATGTATAAATCTAACAATATAATTCTGAACACAGATTCTTCCCTAACCAGTTGAATATAATTAATTAACCGTTTGAAAACATATTTACTTTGATCTATTTCCAATTTTCTATTCAATCCAATGAAAAGTTTAAACACGTTATCTTTAACGTCTATAGATCAATTGTATAAAACCACAAGGAAAACATTATTATATAATTAATTATCGATACAGTTATTATGTACATGTATTTATATTTAGATCGCCAAGAAGGCAAAAAAAACCCAATCATGAAGAGACTTGACATCATTACCATCATACTCTTAGCTTACACGGCGGCTACGGTGGCCGGACAACAATGCGGCCGCCAAGCCGATGGTCAGACTTGTGCCGGCAACATCTGTTGCAGCCAGTACGGCTACTGCGGCACCACCGCCGACTACTGTTCTCCGGCCAACAATTGCCAGAGCAACTGTTGGGGAAGCGGACCAAGCGGAGGCGAAAGCGCGTCGAACGTACGCGCCACCTACCATTACTATAACCCGGAGCAGAATAATTGGGATTTGAGAGCCGTGAGTGCTTATTGCTCCACGTGGGATGCTGACAAGCCGTACGCGTGGCGGAGCAAGTATGGTTGGACCGCCTTCTGTGGACCGGCAGGTCCTCGTGGTCAAGCTTCTTGCGGCAAGTGCCTTAGGGTAAGCCATTTTGATTTTTTTTTTTTTCTAAATTCTTGAATTGCAAATCCTGTTATAAGTAGGGATATGTATACTAAAGAAATATTCGAACATAATTGAAAAAGAAAAAACATGTATCACCATAATCACATATTCAAATTTTTTCTTTTCATATATATTTTTTTAATTACGAATTTTTTTAAATGAAATTTTAATGTTGCTTGTTGAGTGCTATTTGTGATTTCTCCCTCTTGCATATAATGAGAGTATTTTTAAAGATGTCGATTTTGCTCGAGCTAGCTGATTTTATAACCGGCCGAATAAAATAGTGATTAATTAACCGGGGGATTTGAAATGGATGTATAGGTGAGGAACACTAGGACAAATGCAGCGGTAACGGTGAGAATAGTGGACCAATGCAGCAATGGAGGATTGGATTTGGATGTTGCAATGTTCAATAGAATTGATACAGATGGTGTTGGCTATCAACAAGGCCATCTCATTGTTGATTACCAATTTGTTGACTGTGGCAATGAACTCATTGATCAGCTTGATGATTCGAAAAACATCCTTGTTTCGGCCATTGATCGCGTTTGATATTATGTAATGATTTTCGAGGTCGAGATCCATCGGTCCACTCATAAAAATAATAAAAGACGTCTATGTCGAGGGATATGTTCGTGTTGTTCTTGGCATTTTTCTTCTTCTTTCTTATCAATAAGAGACGGAATTATTGAATTTCCCAATATTATTTTAGATTTATACTACGATACTAGTGCATACTAGTATCATTTGTTCATATAAAAAAGGTATTTGTCATGGACCGGCACTAACGTTCTACGTACGGTTGTATATTAATGGTGGTCTTGTCAAAGACGTGCACGTTTTCAC